GCATTTCGTCGCGGAGGAGGATTTAGTTGCCGCTTGGCGCAGAGAGGTTGTCGCGCTACAGAGCGGCGATGAGGGGCCACTCACTATTCGGGGGGGGGGGGGGGGGTAAAGTGAGGAGGGGGCTAAAGTGGCCAGAAGGGGGGCGGTGGGGAGGAAAGAAAGTCGGCCTAGCTGCCTCCGCCGCTGCCGCGGCGACCAACAGAGACACGAAGTAACGGGGGTCGGAACCCAACCGATATCTCGTAGCCCCCCCCATTGGGGAGAGCCCGCTCCGTGGTCGCCAACGGCGGCGACTGCGAGGCGAGCAGCGCGCGCGGACGACGAGAGGCGGGGGCTGGGATTCGCGCGGTGTGGCGCGGCTGAGGGGGGTGCACGCACTCGAGAGGAGGAGCGACAGGGTCGCGCGGTAGGGTCGCGAGAGCCTGCGGGGGGCCGAGGTGGGAGAAGGCCTGAGTGAGGTAGGGGACGCGGCCCGAGAGACGGGGCGGCTGTGGGGTGGTGGGGCTGTGAGCATGCGTGCGCGGCGTCCCTCCGTGTTGAATGTGACAGAGAAACGAGAGATATTCCGTCACAGGGCAGTGGCTCAAAAGAGAGCACCACCGACAGATTCAGCTGGGAAGTGGCGCGGGGAGCGGTGGGGCACACGCCAGGTGGTAGACTCACTGAGTCGGCCAATTCCTCCTGCAGGCAGGTTGACGGGCCGCGGTCAGCATCTACCGCAAGCGTGGGGTCTGGTGAGGGCGATCGTGAGTGAGCCCGCAGGTAGGAGGAAGCGTCAATGACCATTCCTGGCAACCACCGCAGGCTCCCAATGTAGCAGGGGTAGCGTGTGAGAGCGCACCGGGTCCACCCGTCGGACGTTTTGAGGCGGCCTCTCCGGCCTATCCAGAAGAAGTTACCGAAGCACGCCCAGAAAGAAGAATTTACGCGAAGTAGCCGGGTTGACAGGCGGGCGACATTTGACGACGTCGGGGATCACAATGTGACGACCAAAACGATCTCAGGGGCCAGGGTGAGACAACAGGTCGGGGTGCCACATGGGGCGCACCACAGACAGGCGTATTCTAGAGGGAGAAAAGAAACGGGGAATCAGGGGCCCCGCCACGAGAAGTGCGTTCTGGGGATCAGAGCGTGCAAGGCGGCTAGGGATGAGGCCACAAAAGAGGCGCGCGAGGCAAGGAGGAGACGCGGGGAACGGAGAGACTGGGACGACTGGACACGAGAAGACAGTGTCAGTGTACAGTGAGCCACCACAGGCGTCGTTGGCGCACATACGCTCGCGCGGGAGAGTTTAGCCGCGAACGGGGCCATGCTCTGACGGGCTCGCGAGCGGCGCGCACCGCGGTACAAGCCGGCGCGCGGCGGGCGCTGGGAGCCTATTCACAGAGGGCTAACGGGTATTTTTTCGCTTCGCTGCGCGGCCTGGGAATAGGTAGGTAGGTGGGGCACGGAGCCTGGCGATTGGCGCCCGCAATAGGTAGGTAGGCCGGGCGTTTTGGTGCGACGCTCAGACCCCTATCTGGCTAGGAGCCGGAACCCTGTAGGACTGGAGGACGGAGCTCACTCTTGCCATGGCGACCATGGAGAAGGGACAGGTCGTAGCCTGTGGCACCGGCCTGTCGACGAAGATCGGCACGGTCGTGTACTTCGACCGCAAGAAGCAACTGGTGCAAGTCAAGTGGATGCTAGGGTCGGGCGAGGACTCGAACGACTTCTCCGAGCACAGCGTCGGAAAGCAGTCGAAAGGGAAACGCCTCCGCGTCGCCACACCCGTCGACCATAGCGCGTTCCGCGAGGCACACTACTGGCGTCCGCGCCGCTCGCCGCGCGGGTCCGCACCAGCGGTGGCCGGCGAGGCGGCTGGCGAGGCGGCTGGCGAGGCGCCTTTCGGCCGTCCCGCAAAGGGCGTCGCGTCGGCGGGCTGCACCCACCCGCCGTCCCGAGGCCACGCGCCAGCCGAAGAGTGCGACGATCCCGAGCGCAGCGCGGCCAAGCGCCCCAAGCTCGTCACGAAGCCGTGCCAGCTGGGCTCGCCCTCTGGAGCGGCCAAGTCAAAGCCGCGTGCGGCGGCAGTGTTGACCGCGCCGCAGCAGCCCCTCTCCCAGGCGCTCCCCCTCCCCGCCTCTCTCTTGCCGCCCCTCGCCCCGCCGCCGCCCCTTTCTCTGCCGCCGCCCCTCGCCCCGCCGCCACTCCTCACGCACACCGCACCACCGCCTGCTTGTAGTTGGGCGACAGCAAGCGGCGGCACGAGCTCGAGGAGGAGGAGGAGGAGGAGAAAGGAGGACCTTTGAGATGGACGAAGGCGGAAAGCGGTCAACAAAGTTCCTCCCGGCAAGGAAGCTCTCCAATCAAACCAAGAAGGGGGGGCGGGCCCGCCCCCCTTGGCCCACCCGTCTGTGGGCGCCAACTTAACCCGGGAGCAACCGGGCCCACCCACC